TAAGAACTTTGGAAATTTTATAAAGTTGACTGGTTGGAAATTTAAATGGAAGAGAGTTACTTACTTTTAAGATTAACCTTTGTGATCTTTCGAGGGGTAGAAGAGATGATTTGGTAGCCCCACCCCAGCACGTAATACAATATATTATTAAAGATTGGCATAGAGCAAAATAGACAGATTTAATAGTGTTAGAATCTGCTACGCAACGGAGTTTTTTAAAAATATATGTTAATTTCCGTATCCTATTTGAAAGTGAATAAATATGCTCATGAAAAGTTAGCTTATCATCCAACAAAATGCCAAGGTATTTAATTGAATTCACTTTTTGCAAAGGTGTGCATGAACATGTCAGACAATAAGGAAAATTGCAAGAATGAGCAGTAATAACATGGTCCGTGCAGGTTGCATATTTATTATTATGTTTGGAGAAGGACAAGTACTTTGTTTTATCCACGTTGAGGGTTAACACATTATCGCGTAGCCATTTGGACACTCTGTTTAAGCCAATCTGAGCGAAGTTAAATACATCTGGCCATGAATCACCAGTAAATAGCAGTGCTGTGTCATCAGCAAACGTAACTATTTTTCCGTTCATTAGTTTCAGTTTGCAGAGGTCATTAATGTAAAGAAGAAATAAGGTAGGGCCAAGAATACTTCCTTGGGGAACACCATAGCAGATGGGAAGCTCATCACTAACATGTTTATCAATTTTTACCAACTGTGTTCTATCTGTAAGATAATCTCTGAAAAGCTGCAACGGTACACCCCTTATACCAAGCTTCTCCATTTTATGCAACAATATGGGAACAGAGACCGTGTCAAAAGCTTTAGCCAAATCTAAAAATATTCCTATTGTTTTCTTTTTTTTTCGAGGCTAAGTACGATAAACTCAATTAGTTCATGAACCGCATCAGCTGTAGATTTACCGGAACGAAAACCAAATTGATTTGGCGAAAGTATGGAATTTTTATCAAGAAAATTTTTCAACCTATTATTCATCACACGTTCTAGTATTTTAGATAGTGACGGTAATATAGATATTGGTCTATAGTTACTTACACAGTCTCGGTCTCCATTTTTGTAAACAGGATGAATGAGGGATTTTTTAAAAGCTGTTGGGAATATGCCATAAGTGAGGGCCAGGTTACATACGTAGGTAAGTGGAGGTACAATAAATTTTTTGTTTTGTTTTATGAAGCCACCGGATATTTTATCCCAGCCAATGGCACAGTCACTTCTAAGATTATTTATTTCAGATGTAATTTCAACTTCATCAGTAGGCAAAAGAACCATGGAATGGGCTAAGCTATCAATAGTAGGAGAAAGATTCAATTCAGAGTTCTCAAGAATTTTTTCGGCCAGTTGTCTACCAATATTAGCGAAATACGTGTTGACATTATTAACTGATTCTTTCGGCGTGGTACATGTTGATAATAGTTGAGTGGAAGATGTTTTTGCGGCATTTCTGTTGGTTATGCTGTTTATTACCTCCCAAAGCTTTCTATTATTTGCACCTGCATTTCTAATTTGATTTCTTTCATATTCATTCTTGACTTTTTTTAGAAGTTTGTTGCAATAATTTCTATATCTCGTAAAAGATAACTTAAGTACTTCATTTTCCGGCTCTTTTTTTAATTTTTTTTATGTAAATTATCCCTATGCTTCATACAACGTAAGAGTCCTGGAGTAATCCACGGCTTTATAATCTTTTTACGACTAGATAAAACAATCTTCTTAGTATTAGCGTCTAAGACTTTTTGTAAGGACTGGACAAGACAATTAGCGGCAATATTCGGATTTTGTGTAGAGTAAACTAAATCAAAATTCATTTTAGCAAGATCAGTTGTAATTCCACTATAATTTGTACGAAATATTGTCGTCATTTTGTGTTGTTTTGGGACCTTCTTATCGAGAAAAAATGCTACAGTCTCATGATCAGTTAACGCAGAATTTACAACAAGAGTTTTAGCTGGTAGTTTGGTTTTTAGCATAACATGATCTAGGCAGCTATCTTTACGGGTAGAAAAAGTATGAGCAGGTAACAAGCCGTGTAAAGCAGTCATATTTAAGTAGTTAAGCTTATGTAGGTCTTGTTGAGAGTCAATAATATTGATGTTAATATCTCCTACAAGAACAACATTATTAACATTCACTGTTTTTACAAGCAAAGAATCTAGTGAATTTATGAATTCAGTACAATCTCTAACCGCCGGAGAACGATATAAAGCTAAAATAACAATATCTTTATTTATCTTTAAAAGAAGACAATTTGCGTTTCGGAAGCAAATTTCTTCAAACGATGCATTAAGATCACTGTTTATATATGCGACAACGCCATCATTTTGTGTGTAGTTGTTTTCTGTACTAAATGTCTTATAACCGTTAATAACAGGGAGTGTGCGAACACTTTGCAGCCAACACTCAGTTAAGATAATAACATCCCAGTGCACTTTCGTTCTCACAATTAATGAAAGAAACTCAGAGAAATTGTGTGATATACTCCTGATATTTTGACTTAAAATTTTAAGGGACGTTCTAGGGCTTGGATCTAAATGGAAACAGTCCTCAACATCGCAAAGAGCAGATTCAGAAACCGAATAGGAGTCCAACTCATTTACTATTTTATCTAATTTATTTATCATTCGAATGTATATAAAAACATTTGTCCAAATCGACAATACACCAAAAAACCGCAACACCTACACCAATAAACCACAGGCTTTTAATATATATCTTATCACATAATGAGACTATGTAAAATATTAGTGATGTTCTCCTACTGGCTAACCTATTTATAACATCCCGTAAAAAATTATATATAGTATAGAAAAGTTTTAATATAATGACGGTATTATATGAAACACTTATAATACATACAAAAGCGCGAGACATCGAGTGGCTTATTACGAAACTAGCACTAAGACCATTCAGCAGTAGATTAAATGCCGGCTTACTATATTTAGCACTATACCCACTGTATTCATCACAAAATAGGGTGCGCTTAAAATTTGTAAAAGTTGTTACGTTAAAAGACGCTGTGAAGTAATGGATAACCACTATTACGTTTTTTCTTACTATTTCTAAGTAATAATTATGAAAATTTTGCTTATGCATTACGTAAATAAGTAATGTGTATATGTATGAAAAGATGCCCAATAATAGTTTATGAAAATAAATGTGCTCAGTCATAATTTTGTAAATAAGATAACTTTGAAATGTGTATATTTTCGAAGTGAAGTAATGTATGTATATAATTGAATGATGTATTGACTGCGTATGTATTTGAAAGTTATGTATGAATGATTGTAGGTAACATAAGTGAGTTTGTGTATTATGTGCTTGTACAGAAAACAAATTACTAATTTTTACATAAAATATTACAAATTCGTTAAAAAAATGATAGAAATGGTATAAAATTATAAGTAAAACAATATAAATTAGGAAAAAAGTAGAAGTTACGTTACGAAACATGTTACAGTATAGTCATTTCTGTCGTTGCAGCTTCATCAGATCTTCTTCACCATCTAGTCGTATATAGTTAGCACCATCAGTTTTACGTAAATAGACCTTACCACGCGTCGTCCAACAGTAAGCAAAACCGTTGGTCTTGGCAAAGTCTCGGGCCAAGAAGAATAATTTTTTTACCTTTTGTGTTAAGTTTTCGGAAACGAAAATAGGTATTGGAGTGCCTGTAATTTTTAAATGTGATGAATTTAATTTATCGTCTTTTCTCTCCTTGTTAAATTTTTTGACACTTTGCAGGATAGTCTCCTTTTGAAGGACAGAGCTGAACTCGACTATTAAGGTGTTTTGTTTATTTTTATTGCTTGTGCGAAAGATATCCCGTATTTCTGCAGGTTGCATTGATAATTTGAGCAACCGAGCAAGATTTATTACATAATTAGCTAAGTCTTCCTTTGATTCCCCTTGTTTTATCGGAATATTTTTAATTTCCAGACAGGCTGCCCGGAGGTGTCTCTCCATATTTTCCAATTTAGCCTCAAGTGATTGAATGTAGATAAAATTCATATTTCTTTCGGACTCCAGTTTTTCTATTTTGAGTATTATTTCATCATACTTTTCGGACATAAGATCTTGGGACTTTCGTATTTCGGTATTTTGCACCCTAATATCATTTATAACAGACTGAAGAGTGGAAAATTTTGAATTAAATAAGGCCAGAAGCTCAGATTTAAAAGCTTCGAGTTCATCACTACAAACAATCCCCATGATCCCGTTTCCGCTTATTTCTACTAGCGATAGCGACATTTTCGGTCGAACCTTTTGTGCTTGAATCCGACTCACAATTTGATGTTTGCAGATCCTTTGGAGGAGTACGCTTTAGTGGCATGATTTTTTAAAAGGCGGTAGATGTGATAATAATTAACTCTATTTAATTACGACAGTTGCAATATTCGTCCGCGTGTGAGACGTAAGATACCAGGAGCACAGGTAATTTAGCAACGACAGTTGCAATATTCGTCCGCGAGTGAGACGTAAGATACCAGGAGCACAGGTAATTTAGCAACAGTTATCACTAACCGGTACGCCAGAGAGGGCCGCAACAAAGGGGCGGTACTAAGCGATGATTGACAGGTGAGTCACTCTAAGGGTCGAGCACGGAATTTTCCACGGCGCGCCTGGTGTTTTAGGCTCTTATAGATTATGCACTCCTATTATTTGCACTTAATTAAATTGATGAAATTTATATTTAAACAAGAAAGACAACAACACTAAACACGTCTGCTCGAAATCGAGATCCGGGAGGAAGGGGGTTTCAATGGCAGTACTCTAAATTTAGTTGCCGCGTGCATTGGAGTTTGTTCTTATAAGATATGTTTTATGTATTGAAACTATTTCCGGCATGGAAACTTGCTATATTTATGTTACCCCGCTTTACAATTGATTAAGTGAGTTTGTTGTCAGAGTACTTATATTATACTAGTCTTATTTGCTAATCGCAAATTCAGAGTGAATTTCAGACGTAAACACGTCTAAAGATGTTTCAATAAAACTAATAGTTAGCTTTTGTACCATTTGTTTTGTTAATGTCCTATGGTTTCAAATAGTATTTTTTCTGTTATAGGGTGAAGGTGCACCCACTGTACGTAAAGGCACCTGTGCGAACCACGTTAAGCACGTAGCTCAGTTCTTTACCGGCTTCCATCTGACAATGCACGCCCGTACGGAAGACGATCTCGACGAGAAGATCATTTTAGATAAGCTGGCGAAGGCCGGATCAGCTTTTAACTTTAAGAGCAGTAGGCAAGAGGAGTTGCCACCGAGTGGACCAGTTGGGACTACGTATAAGAAAGTTAATCCAGGTATCATTTATTCATCATCCCATAACAGCACCATGAAACCTCGTCTATTGTAGGACATTTTATTCATAATTATATAATAATAATAATAAGTTCTCCGCACTCACCATACGAAACACAGCAGCATTAAGTTACTGTTTGACGCTGGTATTCTGTGAGAGCGTGGCCCTTCCCCGGTCGAACCGACCCATTCGTGCTGCAACTATACTATTAATATACCTGCAGCATGGCTCTACCACGTATGAGACTACTCGACTAGTTACGTATGAGAGTACTAGACTAATTGACTCTAAGCGTGTCGAAAGTCTCAAATAAAATGGTAATATGTCAACAAATACTTGAGGGGAAAAATACTTATGAACATAGATTGCATTACAAGAGATATTTGCCATAGTTGCTACGTATGACAGGGAGGTTGGCAATCACAGTTTTTTAATATTAGTTGTTATTAGGAAGATGCTGCCAATCTCCTGGTTTGTATCTCACTGTCACTTCTTATGACACCCATGAGAAGTTATGGGGGTAGTGGATATTCTTACACTCTACATAAACAAACAGAGCCGTAGTAGCTCAGAGGCTCAGCACTCGCTGTAAATTTTACAGAACGCGATCAACCTGGGTTCGATCCCCAGCGGCACCGATGAAATTGTTAATTGCAATTTTAAGTGCTGATTCACCACGTGCTCGGCGGTGTAGGAAAACATCGTGAGGAAACCTGCATGTCTCAGATATAAAAAATATTTTCGAAGACATGTGAAGTTCCCCAACACGCATTGGGGCTGCACGGTGGATATTTGCTTTCTCTAAAACTCAGAAACGAGAGGAGGCCTGTGCCCTGCTGTGGGACGTATATAGGCGGTAACTTGAACATAATCAATAGATAGTTTTCTTCATCAGCTCGTAAGCATTATTCTACTGGATCACCACCCGACAAAGAAAAGTCTCGAAACACGGCAGCCCTCTTTTTCGATGTCGCACATTTGATAAGGTCTGTTATGGTTGCAGCAATAATGGGTCGGCTCGACCGGGGAAGGACCACGCTCACAAAAGAACAGCGTAAAATATCAGTTTAATACCGCTGTGTTTCGTATGGCGAGTGTAGAGATACGGAGACCCTTTTTTACTGAAATTTCACCGTGTCTGCGACAGATAAGACTAATTCATCATGTATACGACAGGAATTTTGTCGGATCTAGCCACAAAAATTTGTCTTGTCTGCTTCAGACAAGATAAATAGAAACGTGTAAACGATAAGATTGTTTTCGGTCAGTCGTGCGTAGGGTATAGTGCACTAGTCAAGTTTGTTTGTAATAAATAGAATCATGTTAACTACGAAGCAAAAAATGATTATTGCATATTAAATATATAAAAAAATGAAAAAGTACGTAAACACGTCCACACATGTACAAAACAGCTCAAATTATCTGAAGCAACTCACCAACTCCGCCCCTCCCTGCACCGCAACAACACAGAGCACGTCTTGTCTAGCGCTGACAAGATTTTTTTCTTTGTCAGCGCCGGAGAATTGTACACAGTTCTTGTGTAGAAACGACACGAATCCTTGCATAGACCCGGTGACTTTTCTTAGCGTGTACAAGAGCCCTTAGTACTCACGGGTGACAACGCATCTGCGTTTGGATTCGTAACCGAGGATAGATGTAGATGTCTATGGGCCGCATCATTCATTTACCATCAGGTGGACTGTGTGCTCGTTTGTCGCCCTTATTCTATAAAAAAGTCAAAATACTTTTACGATAGATACGATTGGTTGGTCAGTCGATCGTTGTCCCTATCCGATCAAATCCAGTATTTTGATCAAAAACCTGAACTTGTTTAGGTTTATGATAAAATTTAAGCTTAGGTGAAGATAGGTTAGGGTCATTTTATCATAAAACTAAATTAGTCTAGGTTTTTGATCAATAAACTCGATTTGTTTAGGTTGATGATAAATTTAAGTAATAACTTTGTCTTCTGCCTGTTCTTGATCAAAAGCCTAGGTTTTTGATCAAACACCTGATTTTATCATAAACCTGTGATATATATATATATATATATATATATATATATATATATATATATATATATATATACACATAAAAATAAGCCTATGATTCCTGCAGCGCTGGTGTTATATAAGGAAATAAAAATATGTTTTATTGATTTAAATTTAACCTTTATGGAACTCAAAGCCGAGCTAACAATTTTTCGTCGCGTCATTACTTTTTCGTATCCTTGATTTCACATCCGTAATTTAAGTCAGGTAAGCGATGGTAGCTATTAAAATTATTGTGAATTATTTAGAAATTATGTGTATAAAACAAGATAGCAAAAAAGGTTATAGTATATGTAACATCGGGTAGCTGTTGCTAGTGAAGTATAAAAATGATATGCGCAAGAATTATATGCCTTATTCATGATCATTGTTTACCAAACCAGCCACAACAATGCGTGGTAGACTAGTGGATGTTTGCATTGTTTAAATGATAATGTAAACAACATACGCCTTACTATCTGTTAATACACGCGAGGTGTCACAAGTGTTGATCGCGACATGACCAATAAGCCGGTGTCCCAACCCTATGAGACTATTGTGTCCAAAAAGGCTGCGGAGGAAATTAAGAGCAGGAAAAGGACTTTGCGGAGAGGTATTGATGTATTTTTATTACAAAGGAACTGACCGGCGGCGTGTGGACTCGCTTCCGGAACTTTTGAGACTTCGAAATTAAATAAAATTTAAGTAAATTGGAATTTGTAGTCACATCTTAAGGTAATCCACTACCACGCATCATCCTATGGGTGTTGTAAGAATAATAACCTAAAATACCTGAATAATAATCATGATGGAGTCATAACAATCCTCGATTAAAATTTGGCGGTTTTATTGTCCATAGAAACATATACTCAAATCTCAAACCCACAAAGTTTTTTGTAACTTTTTCGGTCTTAGTTTCGTCTTTAAAGAAGTTTTTATCACGAAGGAAGTCCTTTAGACGCGGCTCCACAGTCTTCGCGAAATTTGATAGTTGCTGCCAAATTCCATAATTTACATTTTTGTTCGCGTATTTTCAACCGGAAGTCTTTATTGAAATAGACTCTTGTTTAAACTTTAGACTGATTATAAATTACTTTTGTATTAAGACTGATAATATTCAAATTTTTTCCGTGGGGATCCCATTGGTGGATTATTTGTAGATGATATTATATACCAATTATGATAATAGTAATTTAAAGTGATTTCCATAACACCCAAAGCTAGAAAGTGTTACTCTTAGATCAATTGTTTAACATGTATCGACCTATATACTATATTTCATGTCTGAATAGAAAATCATATTTAAATTTAATTCTCTCTTCAATCCAGGTAAGACACATCATTGTATTTAATTAAGCGGATGGTTGCGAATTAAATATTAATATCTTTAATATAATGAATTTCCGCAAAGTAACGCCTGATTCTATCAATTATCTTAAATTTAATTCTATTTTAACTGTAGTTTTAAGTGTGGTGACACCAAATGAGCTGCGTCACTGTGGTGGAGTAATATATACATTTTAATACGTTTTTATTGTCACGTTTATTTTAAATTATAATATTTAATTTCACTGTTCACGGAAGCAATAAGAAAATGTTAAAAATGTTGCTAAATTGTATAACTCAATTAAATTATATAAGAATAATTAAAAAGAAGACCGTCACATCGTACCAAAAGCCTTCTTTTATTTCGTCGTAATATTATTTATTCTGTGATCTTATGAATATAGGACTCCTGGAGAGATATAGATTTAGATATAAATTTGGGATATTTGACATAGTTGCTATGCCATGGGCTGGCACCCATAACCGCATTTTTTTATTAGTTGGTATTACGAAACCCATCTCATGCTACTCATCTCCTGATTGGTACCCGTCTGTTTCTTCCTTACGGCTCCCACGAGATGATTTGGGTTAATGGATATTCTTACACCGCCACTACAAATAATTATAGTCAAGACTAGATTATAATGCCACTATTACTATATGTTTATTTTTTATTTAGTTTCGGCAAGGTTTTCAAAATTGAAATTTTCAGTTCAGGAAATTAATTCCAAAGAACGGGACCAATTTTGGCTTAAAGAGGAACAAGAAGAGAAGAAACGAGTAGAAGCCGAAAAGAAAAGACGAGAAGAGGTTTGTAATAATTTTTTAAATTTAAATCTATATAAAAATGTGGTAAAAGACCTCTAATTTGGTAGCTATTTACCAGTGGCGAAGCTAGAGCTCCAAGCTAGGGCAAGCCCAAGATATAAATTGATAAAAATATAGATTGTTGTTTTTAGCAGTTTTATAAAAATACACCAATCTTGATCTGTCTCCACGCTTCAGTTTCATATTCAGTGCTGTCAAGGGCGTGTTTAACAAAACACACAGAAGGCATACCACTGCTAGATAGATTGTATTACATATCAGCAATTGCATAGAATATATACATACATACAATTATATACATGAAGAAAGCCGTTTGGGTTTGTTTAAGCGAAAGAAAAAAAATATTTACATCCAATACAATACATGAACAAAAGTAAAACACGAACAAAGTACAAACAAACTATGTACAAAATTAAAAAAAAAATTACATTCTAATTGATAAGAGATAAGATAAGGTGGAATCGTCTCGCTTTCTTATGGAAAGATTTAATTACGTCCACGTAAAATGTTGGTGAACGTTTTAATTGTACCAATAAATGTTTTTAATTGCGATAATTGATAAGTCTGAAATACACTCTTAACCTTGTGTATTATCTCAACAAAGTTTAAAGATTTCCTCTCCGATTATCACTTTAACACACTTCAATTCATCACAAGGAACACTATTATCCTCCATTTTCATTAAAAATCTTTAAAAAACCATAAATTTTGGACTCGTAATATTAAATCGCTTAAGATAAGCACACAGAGTAAATAAACATTGAAACGTGAAATGAACTTGCAAACGTATTGCCCGCGGAGGCGCGCGCTTTTAACAAATTTATTCCCAAAAGCCTGGCTTTAAATCTCTATACTAATTGCTATATATTAGACATGTAACGAGTACTCGGTTTGGATTCGGTACTCGGCGGATTCGGCCGTTTTTTAGGGTTCGGCCGAGCACCGAATATTAAGGGCCGATTACCGAGTACTCGGCCTTAATTATATTGCAGGGAAAAATAAAGACAAAAAGCCAGTTATTATCATTATTATTATATTAGACACATTAAAACATCAGGAACATGACAAACAGCAGAAATATTGAAAACGTAAATAAGAATCTATAATAGAAATTATGATCTTACTAATATTTAAAATTTAAGAGAGGAAGATTGTGATGCAAAAACACTAGCTTTTCGGCCCTATTTGGGTCTAGTTTGCTCCTTTTTGCTTCATATATTAAGCCCGCCTCTGAAAAAAGCCGTTCACTGTAAACTGAACTGGCTGGAGTTGATAAGTATTGAGCCGCAATATTTCCCAAGATGGGGTAATGAACTTTATTAGAAACCCACCATTTATATGGATTTGCATCTCTTGCGGCCCTTGGTACGCTTAAGTAATGATCTAACTCTGCTGCAGCGGAATTCTTAGGATCATTAGGCTGGTAACTAGTTGATGCGTCAGCGGCTTCTTCAAAACATTCCCAGAATAGATTATGAGCTTCAGAAGCAGTATGATCTCTATCTATCATTCTAGCTTTTTTTTCTGCTGGCTCTGCATCAATGACAAGTTCATCATCTTCTGTGTCTAGCGATATTTTTAGAGCTTCTCTTAGGACAGCCTTGCGAGCTTGATCTGCTTGATAAGCATTATAAAAGTTGATTTTGTAGCGTGGGTCTAAAAAGGTCGAAAGGAGATAAGTTCTGTTTTCAAACAAATATTCAAGATTGAAACGCGTGACTTTGTTCATATTGCTTACGAGGGCATTTCTAAAATCATCAACTTGATACGTTTTCTCCGACAGTTCTTCTTTTCGTAAATATCTCATCAATGTGACAGCATGCGGAATTACATCGGAAATAGGAGAATACGTGCTACTAGTTATTTTCGTCACTTCTTCAAAAGGTTTCAATAATATGATTAACTGCAACACTATTTCCCATTGATCGCTTGACAAGTTTTCAAAATTCAAATTTCGAGATTCTGCGAAGTAGACAGAAATAGCTCGTCTCTGTTCAATAATACGTTCCAGTAAATAATAAGTTGAGTTCCATCTGGTAATAACATCTTGATGTAGTTTCTTTTTTGGAAGGCCAAGTTCCTCTTGAATCTCGTGAAGTTTGTTATAACCACTGTGATTGAAATGTGTCACGATTCGTCGAGCAGCAGAAATTGTTTCTTTAACAGAAGTATTAGCGTCTATAGCGTCATTAATTACTAATTGCAGAGTGTGAATAAAACAACGAAAAGAAGGGAAGTTTGCGTCTTTCACACCTTTTGTTATATTTGCTGCATTGTCATGTACAACGGCACGTACTTTCGTAGCTGGTATGTTCCAATCGGAAACCGAATCGAGTAAGCTTTTCTTTATGTTTTCTGCCGTATGACTCTCTGGGAAAACCTTTATATCTAGCACTGCATGACCAAGCATATAACTTTCTTCTAACCAATGGGCAGTACAACTGAGGAAACAAGTTTTGTTAGTTTGACATGTCCACATGTCTGTAGTAAAAGAGATGTGGTTGACCGGTGCCAATCTTGACTTGATATTGTTCACCACTTTGTTATATATATCTGGAATTACATTTTCGCTAAAATATATTCGGCTTGGTATCTCGTACTGCGGTAAAATATTATTGACAAACCGGCGAAACCCTACATGACTTTCCACGATAGAAAATGGCTCGTTATCCACTGCGATCATTTCACCGATTAAATAATGGCACCTCTTTGCTCTAGAATCATTAATATCCCACAACTTTTTCTTTTCTAACATATCTTCTAAAGACGGCTGCTTCAAAAAACCACTCACTTGTGATTGACTGGACTGAGAGACAAATTCTTTGCTACTTGAAGCAATACTTGTAGTACCAAAAACCTCTTCATACTCCGACTTATGTTTAGTCTGCAAATGTCTTTTCATGGACGAAGTAGTCGCAGTTTTTCCCATACCTCCACGTGATAGTTGAACTCCACACAAATTACACTTAGATTTGTTTTTATCAACCTCCACAAAGTATTTCCAAACACCCGACCTTTTCGCACTACTTGACATTTTGTTATATTATAAATTACGCGTTGTCTACATAAAATAATTAATTAAACACACAAGCATAACCTCTTCTCCGTGAATACACGTACAAAAGTGACAAATGAGTTGATAAATTATGAAGTTACGGTTTTCCCCGCTCAAAGGGAATTCCCCGTGCACAGATTCGTCGCGCTGCAATATCGCGCTGTTACTCTGTCTCTGTGTAAGGGAAATAACCGCGCGCCACCCGCTACCGCGTTTTTTAAAGCCGAGCATTCGGCCGAGTATTCGGCCGAGTACTCGGCCCAATCTAGGCCGAGTACTCGGTGGCCGAGTACTCGGCGAATCACTACTCGTTACATGTCTACTATATATACAATCGTAGTTATATTTCATTATAGAATATTTTGCCATAGGTTAGAAAGAGAGCGATCGTCTTCCCGAAAGCCCCGTAAAAAGCCCACGCGAGCGAGGGAGACAACTATTAGCTCTATTAAAACTCATTTTTTATGACCGCAGCAGTATCGCTAAGGCAATACGAGGTCATCGGTCGACATGTGTCGAACAGTGGAGTGCGCGGGAAATTTGAAATAGCTTGAAACATTTTACGAGTTATTTTATTAGTTGATATTATTGATTGATTCAGGTTTAATAAGGCAAGCCTGGCTTTTCGGCTTTAATGGAAGCTTCGCCACTGCTATTTACAAGTTATTGTTACGAGTTTAGGGTTCGTGACAATAAAAACTGCCGATTGAATTACCAAAATTGACACTTTAATTACTGAACATCAATTAAAACTTAAATCACGTGAACTATTCTAGAAAGCTTAATTATTCTATTAGATACTAGATGGCGCTGTTGGTGGAAAGTTCAGGCATGTCATTTTCTAGAAAGCTCTCCTCGCTCTGCTCCCCGACACCAGATGGCGCCAAGGGCATCGAATATGGCTTGCAACATTATTATACTTAATATTTTTGAGATGGGATTTTGTAGTCCGGTTGGGATGGCTTATATAAATATACTAGCGATCCGTCAAGGCTTCTGCTTTCTGGATCTCGACAACAGCGCCACCTACCCGGTACAATTGTGAATCTAAAATATCCTCGAATCAACTTAATGATACATACAAAATTTAATCTAAATCGGCCCAACTGGTTAGGAGTTTAGTAACATACACATGAACAGATGAATTATGTATATAGGCTACAGGGTTATTTTGCAAATTTAATAATAAAATTCAATATATAAGTGCAGATCTACATTTTATTGCAGTTTCTAGAAATACGCATACGCAATTATGATTCCAATTTTCCCTTCATACTTTAAACGAATAATAAATAAAATAAAATATATATTTTTTACATCTCAACCACGTAACTGATGACTGTCTTATTATGGCGAATTTAAAAAATTGGAATCAGGTATTTAAAACTATTAACCAATAAAAACGGTAAACTATTTACAACAACGAACTATTTACAACTTAATATAGAATCACTTAAAATAACACTAACTTATTTGTTCAAAATGGGACGCTCGAAAAACTCGATCACTGTGTTTTCGACAGCCGGGCTTATTACTGAATGACCATCTCGAGCACTTCCGTGTGACGGAGTGGTGAACTGTCCAAACTCGTATCAACTTTTGGTTTGCTGCCAACATTGTATTCCGATTGGTTGGTGCGTTATTTCCTTGTCTTTGCAAACGCGGTAAAGACTCACCTTCGTATAATCTCATTGCTTAAAATGTAACATTGTACAAGATCATAGTAATCGCGGTTCAAATATTTTCATGGCATCATTCCTAAAGAAGTGATAGGTGGTAAATTGTACGCAATAAGGTCACGATCAACACTGTCGGCCGGCCGGGCTAAAGTATGTATGTACCTAGCAACGTAACGGCTTACAGAAGGAAAAGGGCAAGGAGACGCGCTTGTCTTTACCGACTCAAAACGACTATTAGATACCTAAATTGTAACCGAGCGCGAGCGCCGAACGTCACCGACTGCTTCCGAATTCAACACTCCCTTACGAATGTGTGTACGAACGTAAAATAGTAGGCGCTACATATTTATGAATGACAACCAGTTAAAATATTGCATTTCCATACATTTTGAATACAAAAGATAAAAAGGACAAAATTTTCGAGTATTTTCTTATTTTTTTTTACTATTCGTTTATATTATCCTTTCTTCTTCCTTTGCAAATTTGGCCGTATATTGCAAAATAACCCTTTAAGTATATAAAGATAAAAAAAATGAAATAAAATATATGTCGAATATAATCATATATATTATAAAATAAAATAAATAAATGAGTAAAAAGCCAACCAGAAGGAAACTATCAGCAGAGGAGATTACATAGTTGAGGGTTAGAGGGAAAGGTAAAGAAATCGGTGGACGGTCTGTATCCTGCTATTCTAGAACTGTTTTTTCTTATTAAAAGTTAAATCTTAAAAGTTTTTTTTATATAAAAATTATTTACTACCAATAACAATCCACTACTTGACATGTCTCTCCCATTGTATTTGGGGGAAGGGAGGATTTTCCATAATCGACATGATTTACATTATTGTCTGGTTATTTTGCATCTGGTATATGTGATACTGTATCGCCCTTTTAATCGAATTTTCAGAGTCATTTCTTACGACACGTATGGTAATATGACATTAAAAAAAGAACAAGTGATTTAAATAAATTGATAAATTCTGCATTTGCAAATCGAACGAAATTAATTTGGAGTCTATATAATCATTTGTAATCGATATATGCCGGACGAAGAGAGTCTCTATTAAATACGGAATCACTGAGGATCTGTCTCTAGATCGGTATCTTAAACGTGAAGATAAATTCCAAATGTGATGTTAATTAAGTTATTGTTAACTTGTCGTAGGAAAAAAGAAAAGCAGAGGAAGAAGTAAGAAGAAGAGATGAGCTCGAGGCAGCGAGAAGAGCAAAAGCAGAACAACAGAAGTACGTATTTCATTGTTATTAGTTTTTTTTTTTAATTTCTACAAGCATATGTTTCTTATAAAGAGAATGCGTTGTCGTCACCCCTGAGGACTACGATGGAATGCGTCGTTTCCAGTAAAAAGGGTCTCCAGTTTTCTACACTCACCATACGAAACAAAGCAGTACCACGTTTGATTAATCATTAAACTGTTGAAATTTTTTCCACAGTAGTAGTTCTTTCGTATTCAGCTATTTTGTCAACTCTTAAAAGTATTCATATCCAGTAAAAATTTCCCTAATTGAACGATTGAACTAATCGGTTGAACTTTGAACAAATTTTATCGTAAATTATTTAAATATTGTTGTATATTCCTATAGTTTTGATTTAAGCAACTCCCATTAAACTTGTAATGATCTCAATCCTTTAATCGAAGAAGCCGATAAACCCGATTATCCGCCTGCTTAGTGTGGCAACTATGACAAAATCCAATGAGATAATATATGGAGAAGGTCTATGTATAGCAGTGAATTAAGAATAAGGAAACTGCTCCATTCTGTGCACTTACCCGCCTTGCGGCATGCGGATCGGGTCTCAGGAGACGCACACACTACTTGCCCGGGATTCTTTCCCGTGAGCGCTGGCTTAATTCTCCACAAATTTCTCTGTTCCTTCCTTTTTCTCTACATAATACATCTCTCCTTCTGATACATCACTTAGGGTTGTTTTCCGTTGTATGAATGAAGTGTGTTGTACATGTTATACAGAACGGAGGCGGATGCGGTAGCGGAAGCGGAGGCGGGCGGCGGTAGTGCGGGCGAGGAGCTGCGCCGCCAGCGCTCCGCGGAGGCGCGCCGCCTCATCGGCGCCTCCACTGCGGCCGCACGCGCGCTCTTCCAGCAGAACCTCGCGCAAGGACAGCTGTCTGCACGGTGCGTCCGTCGCACTCGCACACGCATGCTCGCTCACTCGCCCACGAGTGAGGCGCTGCGCCGTCAGCGCTCCGTGGAGGCGCGCCGCCTCACGGCGCTGGGGGTGGGATGGGCTGGGTCGCTCCGTGGAGGCGCGCCGCCTCTACGGTGCATCCACTGTGACCGCACGCGCGCTCTTCTAGCAGAACCTCGCGCAAGGATAGCTGTCCGCATAGTGCGCCCGTCTCACTCGCACACGCACGCTCGCTCACTCGCACACGAGCGAGGCGCTGCGCCGTCAGCGCTCCGTGGAGGCGCGCCGCCTCATCGGCGCCTCCATTGCGGCCGCGCGCGCGCTCTTCTAGCAGAACCTCGCGCAAGGACAGCTGTCCGCACCGTGAGTCCGTCGCACTCGCACACGCATGCTCGCTCACTCGCACACGAGCGAGGCGCTGCGCCGCAAGCGCTCCGTGGAAGCGCGCCGCCTCATCGGTGCCTCCACTGCGACCGTTTCACACGCACACTCATTTGCTTGCTTGTTTGGCCGTGGAATGAAAGGAGAAGATCTCCCGCCCGGCAAGGTGTTCAGCCCAGTGGTAGTACAGAACTATTATATATATATATATATCTATATGCATCTGCAGCTCTTTGGAACTTTGATAACGCGATTTAGGCTTCGGTGAGTTATAGCTTGTAAGTTAAGTCTTCGACAGCGCCGCCACACATTTAATTTTCATGAGTGTGTGCACGCTAATGACATGCACACACTCATGCACGTCATTTGCGTACACAGACAAGTATACACGGCTCTTCTCAAAGGACATAGCAAGCTGTATTCTATGCTGCTGCTATAAGCTGCTATATTGTAAGGACGTAAGCAGATATTCTGTAATATACCTTTTATAAAAAAAAACCAGACAACTTGCTCTTATATTTATTGTCTTATTCATAAGTAACAGCCTACATAATATGTACACAATTGTACACTCACGAGGATTATGACGCAATCCTTTAAATTACCACAACTTTGATTATCTAATTTATTCTGAATTCATTATGAACAACATAAAATTAAAGTGGTCCTTAAATATGTTACCAGTTATACTTTTTTCAATACAACTTCTTTTTAATGTTAAATAAAGCACTATGTTCAAATAAAAAGTATTCGATTAGGCAGCGAAGTTAGGTTAGATTAGGAATGGCATGGTCCTTCGAGCTGGATGATTGTGCTTGAGCTGGTAAACAAAATTGGCCTGCTGAAATACAGGTTATCCAAGTACAATAAGTGATATTTTTAAATAATCATTTTGAGTAAGCATTACTGATAATGTTCAAGATTGAATTGTAATCAATATACGAATAGCCACGGACATTGCAGCTGTTACCTTTCTCCGCTGCCCGCCGTGGTCTTCTTTGTGTTTGAACATATTTCCACGCAGCCGTAGCGACTGATGATGAGTTTAAAATGAATCAGGCAATTTGATAGCTCACTTGCTTAAATTCTAGTCTTACACGTATAGTGTGACACTATATCTCATAGTCAAAAAATCATGAAAATTGACTGATATTTATCATAATGGTTTATAATTTACCTTACAGATCGAACTCCATACCAGATAAACCAGTACGTGGTTCGGTTATAGCGCAACGGATCAACACATTCTCGCAGAGCACGTCGCCTCAACCGACCACGCCTGTAAAATCTCCCACAAAACTAGAAAAGACAACCCTACAAGAGCCCACAAATGAAGAACCCAATGACCAACTCAAAACAAGCCCGCTGAAAAACATAGACAAGATAAAAATGAGTCTTGAAAGTCCCTCCCAAATACAATACGAGCCAATAATAGATCCCTCGGTGGATTTGAGCCCAAGCACGGAGAATGAGCCGAGCTCTTTCAGCGCGATCAACTATTCTGAATATAATGAAACAACATATAGAGATATCAAAGGAAATTTGCAGCAAAGTGAACCAATGATCAAACAGAATATTCTGGAAAACGATATGTTTGATGCATCCTACTCGAGTTCGAATGAGAATGATGATGATGACAGTGATAACAAATTCAGCACAATCAAGCGGTCTCCATATACCAAGAACACTGACGCTAAATCTGATCTGAGTCGACAGAACACAGTTATAGAAAATGTGAATTATAAGAAGGAGAATGGTACAACCACGCTTGATGGTGAGTTTTACAATTTGGTGAATTTATTTCATAGAAGCAAAGGTGACGAGCACACAGTCTACCTAATGGTAAGAGGACACTATGGCACATATATCTATCCTCAATTATGAATCAAGATACAGATGTTTTGTCAACCACGAGTACTGAGATTTTTTTTCCATTGAACTGGATTCGGTTTTCGATTCAAAGTGACGTTTTTTGAAACTGATTTTAAAAGCTTACCCACAAACTAATCTTAATTTGACCCATTTTCAATATATCGCCAATTTGGTTGACAAACTTTCACCTAGGACGTCCCTTACCGACTCAGCCGTTCATTTCTGCAATATAGATTTGCTTTGTCACTCTTTCCTCGTTCATTCTTTCTACATGACCATATCCAGAGATAATTTTTAATTAATTAAAAATTAACTTATTAAATATTTCAAGATTACATAAAAATGAGAAAGCGTTCTCGTCGCAATTCCAATTTGAACCATCATTCGATTTTGCGCTAGTTACGGTTTTAGGTGTTTGAAATTTAAATGAGTTCGAATAAAATTAGATTGATTGAGAACTCGATTCTGTCGGGAATAGGCAGGTCGGGGAGGTTTCCTGTTTTGTGACCATATGAAGCATAGCATCATTACTATGCTATTTTATGCTATTCTCTGAGAGTTTAGTTCTTCCCTAGTCAATTTGCGTTGAAACATTGAGAAACACTTCTAGTGTGATTAGGGATGTAACGGTACATAATTGTGTCGATACGATACCGATTATTGTAGTAAATAGTCGGCGGTTTTATATTTCTACTCAGTCACCTTTGTAGACCAAAAAAAAAAACAAATAAATAACGAATAATTTTCTTTATTATGCATAAAAGTTACCTATATTTATCAGAGACTGAACCTTGAGAAGGTTGAAAACCTTCAACTTAAATTAATCGGCGATGCTTATATATCGGTTTGCCGATTATACCAGTATTGATATCGGAATCGTTACGTCCCTGAGTGTGATTATGTGATTTTATATGAAAATGAAGTGATAAATGAACTTACAGTCTACCTGATTATAAGTGGCTACTGCAGCCCATGGACGTTTGCAACCAACTTTAGAAGGTTACAGATACATTGTCACATCTGATGACGTAGATGGAAGGTTTTGATTTCTTTTTGCACAAAGCGTAGTGTCAATTTTTTTTGTAGAATATGAATGAAAAACGATCACACAGTCCATCTGATGGTAAGTGGATGCTGTGGCCCATGGACATCTATATTTATCCTCGATTAAGAATCAATATAAAGATGCATTGTTACTCCGTAGGACTAAAATAGTATGCCTCATTTCCAGTAAAAAAAGGTCTCCAGTTCTCTAGATCCTCCTTACGACACACAGCAGCATTAAGCTGCTATTTTATGCTGGTATTCTGTGAGTGTTCCTACCCCGATCGAGATGACCCATTTATACTACAACCATAATATAGCTGCAACGTGGCTCTATCATGTATGTTTTCACTTATAAACATAGGTCTTTCAAAAGTACTTCATTTGCTGCTGCTCCTATCGGCACCACACTTACCTCATTGAGTCACAAGTACACATGTATATCAAGTAGAATTAGCCTGTACCAGTATGAAGATGTCACTTGTGAATTTTCCTTCTACGTTGGTTGGTATGGTTGACTAATTGCCAATTAAAGCTATCCCCTTTATCATTTATCTATTACATTCATATCATATCAATCTTTTTAGGTTCAGAACTGGAAAAGATTTTTCCACGCATATGCCAATTATTAAGAATTTAGGTTTGGTTAAGGTTTGTCCATATTCACCACGATTTAGAAACGATAGCAAACTTAGAAATCACATATGACAAACAAAATTGTAATTAATTATGGTGAAAAAAAAAGATGTTTTAGTCGCTTTTCATACACTCGCTGCCAGAGCGCTCTTCCTCATCATTATTTGCGAAGCTTGGATTTCGGTTTTTGGGGAATTTTCCGCCATCAGTCAGTCAACCTCGTCACGTCAGTCATTTGAGAAAATACAACAACAATAAAAATATTAGGAAAAATGTGTAAACACACAACTCCATTAAATAAACTCAATTTTTGGGCGTCTGTTACAGATGTATCTCCCGAAGGTATGGATGATGAAGGCACTATTTACGAAGACTTGGATGATGATCCAGGTCTCACAGCAAGAGCACTCTATGACTACCAAGCAGGCAAGTATACACATGTGAACATGAATGATACAGAGCTATGAATTGTGTTCGTGTGATTTCATCCGTTTTGTCTTATTCAGGCCCGTGTTTGACCACAATCTCACCCGGTGGGTGGTAAGTCTACTTACCACCCACCAGACGAAGACGAAGTTCTCAATAATGAATTGCATTGTCTTATCCTAGCAAAAGTCTACTCACTGCTATTTATTTGGGACACCAACAAGATATATGTATACATTCTTATAGAGTACTAAGGGTTCTTAAATTTCCATTTCATCTCGATCCTCAGAGTTGACAACGCATTTGCATTTTGATTCATAATTGAGGATAAATGTAGATGTCTATGGGCCACAGTATTCACTTACCATCAGGTGCACTCCTTGCTTGTATGTCACCCTTATTTTATATAAAAAATTGCCTTAAATAAAACTAAATTTATGGATTCTATCGCGTTTATTTAACTGATTTTACTTTTTTTTAATTCCCGACGTTTCGGGTGCTTTACAGCACCCATGGTCACGGGGGGTACTCCCGATACTCCCGGGTGCTGTAAAGCACCCGAAACGTCGGGAATTAAAGAAAATAAGTAAAATCAGTTAAATAAACGCGATAGAATCCGTAAATTTAGTTTTATTCAATGTGTAGTGTTCGCGTAAATTTAAGAAATCATTAAATTGCCTTAAGTTCTGGGGCTAACTAGGTTAGTAGTATGTCATATCTACATTGTACTGATGGCATTGTTATTATTATGGAGTTGTTAAAAGACTAAGGAATAAGTACTTGCCAATTGGCCTCATATTAATATATAATATAAATTTAAATACAGTAATATATAATTCTTATTAAGTAGTTCTTGACATGAACATTCCCATGTTCACGTTAAGAACTACTTAGTTTGTATCTATTCTATACTTAAATGGTATTGTTTTATACCATTTAAGTATAGAATAGAATATTTTTTTATTCAATATAGATTACAAGTAATTCTTATTGAAAGTCAATATTTTACGTTACCACTGGTTCGAAAAAAAGCCTCTGTCCTGGGAAGAAACAGCAAGAAACCCAGCGGCACTATGTTATTTATTCCATGAAATTATCGCATGTTGTTTGTAAAACTTTCATATGTGTTTCTATCCGCTTACAATATGGGTTTCTTCAAGGGAAGAGTCAATAGGCTTTTATTAAGTCAGTGCGCTTCACCATTTTAGGCTACATCACTACATACAATCTGGTGGGATTGTAGTTAAGCGCTGGCTCAGTTCTTCGCATGTCATGTGCATATTAAAATACATTAATTACCAGGCTATCCCAGAAGCAGGGTATTATTTTTCTAGTATATATGTATGTATGTCAATTTGTAGGCAATATCTGTAGCCTAAACTACTTGATGGATTCTATAATATAACATTTACATAATTTAAAATATAACATGTACATTACATTGTTCAATTCGACTTAGTTGTGGACGTGACATGCTGTATAAAACTATCAATCCAATTATTTTTTTACGCAGTCAGGTTTTTTAAACTACTGTGTTAACCATGGGCTTGTTTTATGAATAATCTTTATTTTGTTTCAGCGGATGAATCTGAAATCACTTTCGATCCGGGAGACATAATCACCCACATCGAACAGATTGATGCTGGATGGTGGCAGGGTTTAGGCCCAAGAGGTGTGTTTGGGTTGTTCCCAGCTAACTATGTTGAGTTATTGCCATGCCCCCCGCGTTAATGAAATTCTACATATTTACAAGGTAATAAGGTTCAAATAGTAATGGAGGCAATTGAGACTATTGTATTTTGTACATTTAGTACCCTATAAACTTTAGTATTAAAGGTATATGTAACAGACTGAGTACTTTTAAATACATAATATTCATTATTCAAAATTTGCCTTCATAACTATGACCCGTTGTAAAGATATGGTGGATTTTTTTATTATCATGTAAAACAGTTTTACACGTTTTACATAAATGTACTCTTCCATTCGTTTTCTACTCATAAATATGGGTTGTTTGTTAATAATATGTAGGTTTTTTAATTTTGTTTTTAATATCTTAGCTTTAAATTTGTAAAGACAAGATATTTAAATATAGCATTGTAGGTTTATTCCCACATTGAGTGTACCTTAAAATATATACTGAAATGATATAATTTTTTCTAATTAATTTCGTAATAGGTATTTGAATTTTCTGTAAAAAGTCTCAAAATATTTAAAATTAATAAAAAAGGACTGGCAAGAGGTATTGATTCAATAAGATTTTTAAAATGATAACTTTTAGAATCGCTGTGAAACTTGAAGAAACAAAAAACCGACACTAAAAACTGACAAACATACATCTATAGGATTTAACTTGCGAGAGTAGTAATGAATGCGATAGAATACATTATACAGTTTTTCCTATTATCTCGGTCTCCTTTTCTGAGGGTTTCAAAACTCAAAGCTTTATTTTACTTTGATGGCTATTATATAAATTAAGAATTTATTAAATAATAAATATAATTAATATAATATAATAAATTACAATGGCAACATTTTATTCATTATTTGTATTTTAGCTGCATTTTGATAGTTTGATTTAAAATTATGTTTGTGTTAGTGCTTGTGAAATTGACGCAGTTAATTTTAGGAGCAGTAATACAATTTTTGATTATTGTTTTTCAAATTATTCCATATTAAATGTTATCAAGTAATTTTATTATTTAAGCATCAAATTAATGGACCACTCCAAGTTACTACTTAAATAAAGTACCTTCTAAGTTCTTACGAAATCAAATCTTTTAAGGGCTCAAATAAATTTTAAAATGGGAATCGAATATGACTAAACTTAAATAATTAGTTCTATCATTCAAACAAAAAGAATATGGTTTTCTTTTCTTTTATGTCAAGACTGATAACATTTTGATTATTTCATTAAAATCAACCACACAAGTTGCAAGAAATTTTATAAATTTTTAATATTGATCCTTTTTGTAACATTGACGGTTAGGGCCTGCACAGAAGTAGGACTATTGTCCGCAAACGACAAGTGTCCGGGGAGCGTGGTATATCTGCCGGAACTTACCACGGACTCAATGCACTCCACCGTACATTTGTTCTCTGGAACTTCATTGAACATATTGTGCTGTAATGTACTAAAAGCTTAAGAAATAATACGTGGTACAGCCACGCTGCAGCTATATTATGGTTTTAGCACAACTGAGTCGGCTCGACCAGGGGTAGAACCACACTCACAGAATATCAGCATAAAATAGTAGCTTAATACTGCTGTGTTTCGTATGGTGAGCGTTGTAAATTGAAGAAATTTTTACTGAATACAAAGCATTTAGTCCTCAGGGGTGACAACGCATCTGCATTTTGATTCCTAATTGAGGATAAATGTAAATGTCTATGGGCCACAGTATTCACTTACCATCAGGTGGCCCGTGTGCACATTTTTTACCCTTATATTATATAAAAACTTGACCCAATCTCATACCTGCTCAACGTCGACTTAAATCCGTTGTGTATGTTGTGCCTTGGCACGTTAAATGTGTGATTTAGGGAATTCCGCCGTATTTTAGTGCGGTCTGTCTGTCAATGTTACTGTACTTTGGGAGACTTCTTGTACGTGGAACTTTGAGTCCCTCGCATACGTTACGCGATGCAGTTACAGAGTTATTTATTATGAGGGACAAAATATTCTGCCCATTATTGTTGTCCATCGTCTGCGCTAAGGTCCTAAGGATCTACCAACACGTACCACAATATTAATGAATAGAACAATTTACACGCACCACGTTTTACCGTCATTATCCACTGCGTGAGTGATACCGACCATAAAGCAACCACGACGCGACTACGGAACTACGGACTACGGAAGCCACATCGCAAACAGAATATTGCTTCGATGCCACGACTACGGGGTGCAACGCAACCACAACCAGTTGCGCGTTGCGTTGTACCCACATAAAGCTGTAGCGACACTATTCACACATGACCACATTTTGTCGCTGCGATGTGGTGTGGTTGTGGTACGTGTGGGTCGACCCTTAAGCTTAGGGATCTATCAGACATAAACTGTTCAGGCATTCAAGCGTTCCGCGGACGCCCAGACAGCAGGAGTTCTGACCGCGTCGGTCAACCAGAATATAGGCGTTCGTGATTGGCGAGCAACTGAACGCTCGAACGCAAAACGCGAACGCGGAACGCTTGAACGCGTGGTGACCGCTTCCTGTCTGATAGAACCCTTAGTAAAGTAGAGCGGTTCTGAAATTTGGTAAATAATTTTATTACTGTATCTACAAAATTAAATATTTCTAATTTAACTTATATATATATATATATATATATATATATATATATATATATATATATATATATATATATATATATATATATATGAATACAGAATAATTCATATTTTTGCGTCCTGTTTTAAATATAAATAACACAAAATAATATTAGGGACTAGTCTGATGCCATTTTGTGACGTCATAGTTGCCGAATTAGCATCACTTGATAGAGTAAAAATCTACTGAGACTAAGCGTCAAATTGATACTTCATGGTATGGAATAATGTGTCTGAAAGCAATATTTACATCATCGATATATAAATGTACTATGCACTAGATTTGGATATCCGAACACTGTTAATATTTTGAATTATATAACTGTTAATAAATGTTGAAGTCACATAATATGTATAACATTTGCCACTTCTGCGGTGTAAAATTGCAATTTGACCCTGAAATTCTTGGCGCTTACGACGATTTGGTCACGTGGAAACTATACTCTATAAGCGTTCTAGCGCTGCATGTTTTAATAGTTTGGTTAAATGACGTAACTATTTTTCAGCGCTGCGGCAAGTACCGCAGTCATTAAATTGCAACACGTCTTTTGTTCTGAATAGCTTCTCTAGTACATAGTACTCAATGATTTACATAAATTATATTATTTAAAAAAATATTCATTTATCTTTAAAATTATGTGAAGTAAGCATGTAAGAAAAATCTTTACAATACACACAATATTAATGTAGCATTGGCAAGCCAAAAAGTTGTCAACGAGATTTGTTTATCCACCCTGCTCATCTATAAAGTTAGTTTGCAGACATTGTTATGAGAATACATTTAAGTGAATGTTATATACATAAATGTTCATCATACAAAACGTTATTTATAAATCATGTAACAACCACTATTTATTATTATTAATTCTATTATTAGTATTTTTAAAGTCATGTAGGCATGTGCTTGATGTAGGATTTAACTGAAATAAATTCCTATAATATGTTTATCAAATTTGTAAGGAATTACAATTCGCTTAGACTGTTTACGCATTTTTTACAAGTACTTATGTTAATGATTATTTATAATTTATGACTATACTGCCATTTCAGGCTGGGGATTGTGAAGATTCGAGAAATGTGTATAGAATTAATTTAGTCAAATTTCATGATACGTAGTGTTTATAATCCGTTCATATTTAATTAACTGATCCAAATTCAAAAATCGCCATTATCTTTGTGGATGTTTTAATTTAATTAAAACTAGCAGCTACAATAATAATTAAATAAAAACTATTTGGTCATTATACAAAACTTCAATGCATTCATACACAAATTAATGTGTCTCGCATAATCACATTACATTTAATTCATTAAAATGAAGAAAAAAAGTGAAAACCAAATACATTAAGTAGCACATAATGCTGTGTATCGACAGAAGACTGAGTCTATATAATATTTCAATCTCAGCCTTAGTCAAAAATTACGTGATAATTTTTTTTCATAAATATATTTTATTTAGCTTTATTTATCGCTTTACTAGTAATTTTTTTACTGTTTCGCTAGGGTTTAAACTGTGTTTTAAGAAGAGTCTAGGGTAGTCCCTTAAGCGCGGCTTCACATTCACCATAATCATGAATGTTCACGCCTGTCACACAGAAAGGTAGGCAGTAAACCTGCCACGCCTCTCTCTCGCATCCTTTACATCCATATACCTATGCATAAAGGCTCGTTGGTTAAGGATACTCTTAATCTGGCCCATCTTCAATATATCGCCAATTTGGTCGATAAACTTTAGTCTGGGGCGTCCCTTCCCGACTCTTCCGTTCACTTCTGCAACATAAATTTGCTTTAGCACTCTTTCCTCGTTCATTCTTTCTACATGACCAAACCGCCGAAGTATTCGTTACTTAGTCCTTGTCACAACATCATTTTGCACACCACACCTATATTTTTTCGCGCAATTTCTCACCCTGTCACATTCTTCGCGAAATTTAACGTGTAATATCAAATTCATGCTACATTAGAATTATACAATTTAGTTTGCATATTTCTGCGAGATTTCTTTATCGAAACAGACTCCATACTTGAGACAAAGTACTTTTTGTAGTAAAGGTGGTTTATGTTTCGTTAGACGTGTTTGAATACCATCCGTCAATATACAATGTGTTCTTCAGAGAAGAAAAGATTTTTAATACGATAATGCATTCAATAATATAAATTTTTCTGGACATATTTGTTAAATATACAAGTATTAAAATTTGTGAATTTAACTTTTTCTTCTGATACTTTTTTTACCTTAATAAATGTAAATTTTACAATAGCACTTGTTTAAGATAAATAATAAAATAATAATCGAGAACATGATGTGCCAGACAATTATATTTTTTTTACAATTGAACATCTGATGGTACATGGCTACTGCGAATGGACACCTGAAGCATTGTGACTAAATGTAATATAA